CCTACCTAACCCACAGAGCCTCCAGAGCTCCTCGCCTGGCGCACAGTCCCCAACAAAGCATAATAAAGACCCATGCCCATGGAGCCGATTCCCACCTGTAGCGACCCTCCAGGACAGAGTGGAGTTCGTCCCTCGAGTCTCCGAGCCTGCAGACCTCCAGGGAGCAGACTGCCACACCCTTCACCCCTTGGGGGCCGTGGGGTGGGTTCACGCTGCTTACCAACCAACTCGTCACCCACTTTGCCACCATAGTTACCTTCTGGTTAACAGCCGAGGGCTTGCCCACTGTGCCGCCAGGGCTGAGAGCCACTGGGTTTGGGCCGCCCATCCTTTGCATTTGATCACTTCCACCAGGGCCTTTCCTCACCCGGCAGCAGTCAGGATTAAGTGGCCCGGTGCCTGGCACAGCAGAGGGGCATTATGCACAGGAGAGCGAGAATGCTTGGCGCATTAGCATCATGGTGGCCTGTGTCCACCTCCACCACAGCAAGGGGATAAAACAATTGCCCAGGGGGATTGAGGGACTCACCCGGGACCACACAGTTTAATGCGCCAGTAACCAGGATTGGAATGCATAACTCTCCCACTGCCTTCTACCCTTGTCCTTCCTGCCCCTCCCTCCAGTCTACCCTGTATCCAGGTTGGCCTTGGGAGAGGGTGGTGGGGAGGGCCAAGGGACTGGGAGACAGAGGCACCCTGGGGCGGATCTGCTGGTGTGAGGAGGATGTGAGGCCTGCCTGTCCGCCTGTCAGTTGGGGGCGGGCCAGCAGGGATCAAACGATGCTATCTGCAGTGTTGCTCAGGCTCTGGCTCCTCCAGCTGGGTCAGGGTGAACACAGGCGAGGCTCACCCAGTCCTGCTCTTGCCCTGGCCTTGTGTGGTGCCAGCCAGGTCCGTGTGTCCCTGGCCTCCGTGGCCCAAGGTGCACTATGGGCACAGTGGCTGCCTTGATCTTGGAGACCCGTGGGCTCCCTGCGGGATGGGTGAGGAGACCCAGGCTCCTAGCACCCCCTGCCCCACCCCTGCCTGCCCAACCAGAGTGAAGGCACCTTTCAGGTGCCCCCAAGCCATGTCTTCCTGAAGGCTCATGGAGGGTAAGAACAGACTGGGTGCCCCCGGAGGCCTGGGGTTCTGTGCCAACTCTGGGGCTGGCTCTCTGCGGGGGACCTGGGCTCATGTGACCACCCCAGGCTTGAACCTGGCCTTTCCACGTCCCAGCACCTCCCTGAAGAGGGGCCCTCTGAGGTTGTCCTAC